ATAATTATGACGTTACAATTATGACAAAAATTTAACTTGTCATGTCAGAATGATTTTTTTATTTCAGATTTTCAAGTATGTCATAATTTTTACTTATCTCATAATTATGATTGACTAAAACATTTTTTTTCTTATGTGACAGAAATGGGCTTTCATATACATATAATCTCAGTAAGAACTATCATGAGCTCATTTTACAGTTTATTTGAGTATTTTGTTTTATTTGTACTATTGTCCTCTGTTTTAATGCAGTGCTTACAGTTATTTGTTTAAATAAATAAATGTAAAAAAAATCCCAACTGAACCTAAGTGAACACTTTTAATAACCACAAATGTTTAAATGTTATATGTGGGGGGAAAAAAACTAAAATAAAAACAGTGGGTTCCATAAGTAAATATACATATTTATAGACAGTATTTTGCAGCGTATTGCATGGTAATGCTATTTTAAAGAAATGTAAGATGACTATAAAGTAGCCCAGGCAATACTTTGAAAGTTCTTGCAGAGCTATAGGAAACTGCGGTCTACACAGGATTACGACACCGGCAGCACATTTCTATTCAGCAGAAGTGAAGCAGGTGCGTGTGTGCTGGAGGGTTCTTGCAAGGTCACCTTTGTATGTGTGTGTGTGTGTGTGTGTGTTGGGTGTGTGCGAGAGAGTGTGTGTGTGTGTGTGTGTGTGTGTGTGTGAGAAAGAGAGAGTGAGTGTTTTCCACAGCTATTCAAATTAAACAATCATTAAAAATTCCCAGACCTTGAAGTATTTAGGGAGTGTGATTAGTCCCCCACCCACGATCCCAACCCCAAGATGAGTCAGGGCAAGGTAAAGCCCCCAAAGAAAGGTGAGTGTAGGAGAAAGAGGAAAGCGAGTTTCACCTGTGAGACCAGACGCCCACAAAGGATGTTCCCCTGAACCGAATAACTGAACACCACCGCATCCACTGAATTTGTATATGTAATGTCTTGATCAAACCATAGATTCATATGCATAGAATATATACTGTTCAAAAGTCTGGGTCAATAAGGTTGTTTTTGAAAGAAATTAATACTTTTATTCAGCAAGGATGCATTAATGTGATCACAAGTGACAGTAAAGACATTTATAATGTTACATAAGATGTATATTTTTGAACTTTGTACATATCAAATAATCCTAGAAAAAAGAAAATATATATAAGAAAAAAAGGTATATTGGTTTCTACAAAAATATTAATCAGCAGAACTGTTTTAACATTGATAATACTAATTGTTTCTTGAGCAGCAAATCAGCATATCAGCATGATTTCTGAAGGATCATGTGACACTGAAGACTGGAGTAATGACGCTGAAAATTCAGCTTTACATCATAGACATAAATTACATTTGATCATATAATCAAACAGAAAACAGTCATTTTAAGTATCAATAATATTTTACAATCTTACTGTTTTTACTGTATTTTTGGTCAAATAAATGCAGTTTTGGTAAACACTTTCAAAACTATAAAAAATCTTCCCAACCAATTACTATAAAAGCACTTGGACACTTAAAAACGACTGAATGTCAGAGCATTAGATAATATCAGACCAAATGACTTTATTATTAACAGTACAACTGTTGTTTTATAATTGTAAAACCAGTGTGCTTGTGCAATGTTTCTTTACAAAAAAAAAAAACGGCACTTGGCATAATAATGGTTTATTAATATCAATTGTAATATTTAATTCCAATATATTACAGTGACACATACATTGTGTCAGTCCAACGAGCGAATGATTTTTCCACCAATACCTATCAGATTAGCATGCAGTCTCTGTTTAAATAAAGAGGAAGTTTTGTTATTGTAAAAGATGATGAGATTAGTCAGACGAGTGTTAGATTACTCAGACGTCTGAATTCCCCTCATCTCTCAACACCTCAATCACTGTCAGACTCTGCCAACAAATATGTGGGAGTCAGTTCATCCCATGATGCAGCACATGGAGGAAGCTGGGGTCACATTGCGTTGTCATATGCACCAAACGTGGCCAATTTCATGAACGCTGCTGTAATGCCATTATTCCAGGGAAGAGCACAAGCTTGTTGTGTACCTCTGAAAACGGCATCCCATGACCAAACTTTTTGAGCTGCATTTTTTTCATTTCTGTTTCTGTTTCACTTCCTTTGGAGAGGCTGACAATATTTTAAAGAAGTAATGGCATTATTGGGGAGGAGGATGAATAAATAGTTTAGTAATTTCAGAGGAATGTTTTATCTGTCAGTATTTACAATGACTGAATCAAAAGTATGTTGTGGTAAATACGCTTTTGCCTGAGACACAGTATCTCAACAAAAAGGTGAAGTTTTACACATATCTATAGTTCTATAATAAAGATCAAATGAAGGGCTGCAAGAGAGCTCTGTGTTTTTCAGTTCAGTATTTGCACTGAAATGTGACCACAGAGATTCAGTACACTATTTTTAAATGCCCTACTTTTGAGTTCTCCAGATTCAGTAGAAGCCTACGTATCTTTCACATCTCTACGCGGGACGCTGAAAACCTGCATCATTTGGCCCATGCACTGGCAATGCACTGGAAATTAAATCGAAAGGGTTTTTTAATGTTTGAGCAATATGGTAATGATGACAAGGATTAAAACTGATTGTAAATGCAAAACAGTGCAGGAATGGTTTCTTGCACTTCCATGAACATATATGTCTACAAGCTCTGACAGCAGCCATACAACTACTGTAGCCTATACGTCAAGATGATGTAAGAGTAATTAAATCTTAGCAAAAACAATTTGTTATTGACTGAATCATTTATAAAGAAGTCAAACATGAAATTTTAAAGAAGTCAACAGTCAGACTATTTTTAAGTGTTGGGAAGTAACTAGTTACATGTAACAGAGTTGCGCAATTTAAATACAAAATAAATGTAATTGTAATCAGTTGCATTTACTGAAAAAATGTGTAATTAAATTACAGTTACTTATGAAAATGATTACAAACTATTACAAAGGGGGTTACATCTGAATATTTTCACACACACACACAGATTTGATTGATTTCTTTTTAAAATTGAATCGACTGCTCTACAATATGATACATTAATGTTTCAGGAGTTTAGGACACATGCTTATTCAATTACTGTTTTATTCCCTATTTATGCTTTATTTTTTAAGATTAACTGTTTTTTCCACCCAAGGCATTGTTAGATGCCAGTGTTTCCTGTCACAACAATGCAAAGATTTGATTTCAAAAACAGTATCATTGATATTGAACTATATCTTGTTATGATTTTAAATCTGTTTTTAACCTCAGAATGATCTCAAAGTAAAACGAGGTGTTAAAGTCTGATTTTGTGGTGGCTGTGCTTTAAAATGACATTTTTATAATCTTAACTCAAGTGATGAAGGATTTTGAAAGTCTGACAGTAATCAGTGTGGAATACTGTTAACCCTGCCTGTTTGAAAATGATTAATAGTTGAAAACATTAGAAATTTTGAAAAGTAATCAAAGAGGAATGAAATGTAATCAGTTACATTACTTTAATAAAGTAATCGAAATAGTTACACTACGTATTTGAATAGGGTAACTTGTAATCTGTAACCTATTACATTTCCAACACTGGACTATTTCAAGTATTTGCTGTGTTTGATATTTCATGGTGTTCATGAAGTGTTGTTGAAGTTCTTTCCTTTGTTTCATGCCATTTTATTGTCGAAGAAATGTGGAGTTTTTCTGTAAGAGTTTGACATTACATAATCACATGTGTAGCTGATATGACAAAATCCTCTGCTTGATTTTTTTTTTCAACAAAGTTGCCATTTTGGTACAAAATATGTACATTTATAATAATCATACAGAAATTTGGAGCCTTTATAAATATCTCTCATCCTCTCAGTAATCAGTCTGACAGTCTCATTAATTTATCCAATAACAAGTCTTCCCATACCATAAATATATTTTAAAATATACAAAAAAAAGCTAAAATATGCTTCAAAATATATTTACATAAATATATTTCTACTATTTTCTGTATATTTTTCTAAATATATTTTTAAAAACATTTAAAACAGCATTTAAAAATATATTTTGCCCTCCATATTTCAGTCCAAGAAAATACAAATACATTTGAAGTAGAACTTTGTTGTCTATAACGTGTGAACATATAACACGTTTAAATAATATCTATCTATCTATCTATCTATCTATCTATCTATCTAATATTGTTGCTCTTTTGTTAGTTTTGACTGCTTTTATTGTCCTCATTTGTAAGTCGCTTTGGATAAAAGCATCTGCTAAATGACAAAATAAAATTAAATAAATAAATAAATATTCTGAATTACATAATTCTATGAATTACGTATAGGCTTATATTCGTAATTGAAGGGATCGTTGAAATATGATACACCATAAATTAAGATTGAATGATTTTACTCATTTGACCTATATGAATAATGACGTTTGAAATATCATTCTTGGAAATATTATGCAATATTATGCAATACCTTCATGAATTCTAATAATTATTCAGTTAAATAATAAAAACACAAGTAACAACATACTGGCCTTTTTGTGCTAATTCTAGAGGTGTTCTTCACCCACAGGTCTCATTTTAACCTCTCAATTTCAAATGAAAATGCAAATCTAAAATCTGAATTACTGTAACCACAAATTCTCCATTAACAAAATTAGACCTATATAAAAATGTATAATTAAATTATAAAAATGCATACATCACTGATATCCAAAATAAATTAAATAAATGTAAATTTGGGTCCCAAAAGGGTGTTTGTGTAGTGATGCCATAGAAGAACCTCAAAGAACCCTTCAGTGAACAGAAGCATTTTTTTCTTATTGTAAAGAACATTTTGAAAATCTAAAGAACCTTTTTCCACCATAAAGAAACCTTTGTGCAGTGAAAACGTTCTATGAAAGTCAAAGGTTCTTCATAGAATCATAGATGCCAATAAAGAACCTTTATTTTTAGAGTGATACGACGCCACAAATCTGTAAACAATGGTCCATACAACAATTGGCTTATTTTTTTGTGGTTGTAATTCCCTTCTGTGAGTGTAAGTGGGTGTGAATCTGTGTGGGTGTATGTCATGGTTTCTCCTCTCAGTCTCTATACTGCTCATTTTTTCTCCATAGTCTGACATCACTGGAGTTTCCCCTGGTCTTGCAGTCTATGCTTTAAAAAGAATGAAGAACCAGCTTTTCTGAGCACAACGCTGACAGACCAACCAAGCAAAACACTGAAGTGATAAACCGCGCTGAGGAGACTTTACAAGACCATTTAAAAGTGTACTGACACACTGCAGTTTCTTATATTTGGACATAGTTGAACTTGAGCTTTCGGAGGACTAACAAGACACAATGATGATGGATCTTGAGAGTCAGTTTCTTGAAGAAGGAGCGCTGCCCTTACCACAGGTGATGGTGTCGAGGAGGAAGGCCGGCTCCTCAAAGTCAGGCGTCTGGCGGGTGTGTGGGGTCCTGCTGGCTGTGGCCCTGTGTGCCGCCGCTGCTGTCTGCTTCACGCTCAACAAGGTGACTATCCTGACCCATACACATCATGCATGTCATTCTTAATATGCCATTTCAGGCACATATTTGTGCATTATTGTGTACTCAATGTTACCTTTCTTGTTCATTCTAGTCTCAGAACAATCAGGAAGGTGGAAATGGTGAGTTCAGACTCTCAGTTTCATATCCACCTTTCCCCATTCACATCAGATAATGTGATTTTCTGTTAAACTAAATCATCTTATACGAGTTATTTTGTGTTTTTCCCCATCAGAGCTAAGGCTCACATTAAGAGACCATCTTTCAAAAGAAAATGTCACTTCCAAGGTTGCCATCCATTTAACAGGTAAGCTTGATTCAGTGGTAAATGAGCTGTAAACAATCACCTCACCTCAGAATGCATTCAAAGTTTAAGCAGCTTTGCACTGCGTTATACATCTTAAATATACTGCAAGAGTCCAAATACTTTTAGGGGTGATTGTATGAACTTGTATAAACTTGAATCATTTGGTTATGTATCCAAAAATGTAGCATAAACAAATATGACTACTATAATTTGACACAAATTCATCTGTCAATTAGAAATGAATCAGTTACAGACACCAATAAGGTTGGTTGCATGACATGCTCTCATCCTTGAAAATTATACAAACTATTCAAATTAAGAGAAAATATGACCCTGATTACAGTAGATACACTTTCACTTACAGTGAGGATAAACATAGTTTTGATGTTTTGTATGGCACCTGCCAAAACAATGAAATATTGAAATTTATAGACATTAAAATGAATTTTAAGAACATTTGTGATTATTTTGTTAACATTAATGTATTAAGTATCAATGTAATGTGTCATTGTAATTTTTACAGCATTTATTAATCTAGATTAGTGTTACTATTCATTATAAATTCATGTTTGTTCATAATATATGAATTAATGTTAAATTAAGCAACGTCAAATGTAAAAAATGTATTATCTACTTGCATATTTATGAATTGCATTCACCTAGACCATAAAATAAGCCATTATGGCACAGTTTATTAAGGTTGTCACTTGATGTCCAAAGTCAAATCTGCATCCTGTAGCAAAAACCTATTGAGAAGCACCGACTTAGGCCATGTTTTTGTTGTATTCTCCTCTAGGTGCATATGACCCTGACGTGTCTAAGGACAACCTAGACTGGAAACAGAACCAGGACCAGGCTTTTGTTTCAGGTGGCTTGGAATTAGTGGACAGAGAGATCATCATTCCTAACGACGGCATTTACTTCGTCTACAGCCAGGTGTCTTTCCACATCAGCTGCAAGAATGACATACCTGAGGACCACGACGTCGTGCATATGAGCCACGCAGTGTGGCGCTACTCTGAGTCCTACGGCAGCTACAAGCCGCTTTTCAGCGCGATCCGCTCCGCCTGCGTACAGGCGTCTGACACTGAAGATCTGTGGTACAACACCATTTACCTCGGTGCGGCCTTCAACCTGCGAGCTGGAGACAAACTGCGCACCGAAACCACCACAGAACTCCTGCCCCGCGTTGAAAACGAGAACGGAAAGACCTTCTTTGGGGTGTTTGCTTTATGATATGCACTCTAAAAATCCGTAAAAACAGGACACAATGTACTGTACCTATTTATATGAAGGAACTTTCCATTTTTATTTTTTTACAGGTGTTTTACCTGTATTTTGCACTGCATTGCATTGTGTTTTAGACTTGTACGTAAAATTAATGGATAATGTCCTGGCAGAAAATTACCAGTATACATTTTCCATTTTTTTTTACAGTGTAGCTGGACGTCAAGCAAAACTTGAAAAGTAAGGAAACAATGGAAACCTGTGGGGAGGAAAGCAGTAGTAGCCTGTGCTGAACTTCCAATGCAATGACACTGATAAGATTGAAATGACCCCTAGTCTATGTTTTATATTAAAACAGGTCAAAATCTATAACTTTTATAGATCAGATCCAGGGATCTAGATATCAGTGGGGGAAATCATGGGCATTTTCAGCTTGTGTCCATGAATGCTGAATTAAAGCAATCCAAGTTATTTATATACGTAAAATGATGAGTATTTATGTGTAGCCTATTTATTTAACTATTTATTTAACTATTTATTAAAAGAATGAAAAACTACTGCACTGCTACTGTAATGAAATTCAAACATGTAATAAATCTATGTAATTCTAATGTGTAATTTGCATTTTCTCTGCAGTTTCCAACTTGCTTTTTAATCAGCTTTGTTTTTGGTTCTGATATTAGGCTACTGAGAGAGCAAAGGGTATAAACATTGGTTGTGCAGACTCAGAGGTTACTGCAGAGGAAACATTGGTCGTGATGAATTATCTCTGCAAAAACTATAGTCCCCTCAGTCCTCAAGATATTTGTATTTAAAATTAGAAAGCAGGGTACTAGGGAAATTGCATTTCAGTCATGCATTTGCAAACCCCTCCATGTGCACGTTTCCGCTGACGCTGTTTCCTCATCAGAGAATATTGTGTGGTTTCGGTGAGGGGAAACTCCCTAACACACACCACCATGTCAGGCTCCAGGGAACACTCATGTAGAGTGGGCATTTTTGTGGTTACTTCAGGCCTATCTGTTACTCTTATTAATCAACAATGGTTGAGGAGCAATAAAATCAGTGGGTTTCTGTGACATAATACAGTGGAAAACTTGTGCTTGAAGCATTGAGGGATAATGTGTAGGCTACATTATGGGTGTAATTTTATTAATTTTATTAGCTATAATCTGCCATCAAATATCATTTGGAGTTCATATTCACCTAATAGTAATGCTATGTTTTTATAGGTATGCGCTTGAAAAATCAATCAGCATCTATTAAAAGAGAGTTAACTGTGAATGCTGCTTTTTAACTAAAAGTTTGAATTGTCTACTCCGTGCAAGAGTATTTCCCATAAATCTCAGGTCAGGGCAAGACGCTTTGTGCAAATTATGAGTAAATTCTGTTGAACTGTAAACAGTTAGCAACTGCCATTGTTTAAAGGTTGAATTCAATAAGAATAAAAATAAAAAATACAGAATTCAATAGACTGCAGGGATGATGCATTTTTGCAGGCCAAAACAGCATTTTAGCACTTCTGGTTGAAATCAATGGGGTTTTTTAAAATGAGTTTTACAGCCTATGTTTATCTTTTTACACTATTGTATTTAGGCATAAACTTTAGTTGGTAGCAGTTCTTTTTTTTCTTCTAATATTAAAGATTAGAAGTAAAAAAGGGAGAAAATGGTGTTTAAAAGCACGTATGAGAGTGGGGATTTGGGAGAAAAATAAAAGATTCTTAAAGCATCGAAGTGAATTATTCATGGGATATCGTTCATTAAAAAATGTAGCGTCTGCTGTCTTCTTGTCTGTATATTGTCGCAAACAAAGAAACAAAAAAGCCCGCCCATCACAGCTTTTCTTGTGATACCAATGTCACAAACAAAACATCCAGCGTTAAATTATTTTCCTGAGGAATTAAAATAGAGCATGACAGAAAATGTACAGCTCATTCAGTCAAACTGATTATTTGTAGTGCAACATTGAATTATTTGTTTCAGTTCTTCTGAATGGCAGTTACCAAAACTAGAAGTGCCACCCATATTTTAAAATGCAGAAGACTTGTTTGGAAAACAGAAAAAGCATCAAACAATGCTCTAAATATATCTCAAAATTGTAAATGGAAATGGCATTTCCATTTCGTGGCTCATCAAACACAAAAACCACTAAAGAGATGAAGAGTTTTAAAAAATGTAGCAAAAACTACAATAATTTCACCATAGACACCAGTCCAATAGCATTGTACAGAATCTATCATAGTACAAATACAAATATATTTTCAATACCACATACGAATACCTTTGACTTGATATACTTCATACTTTGTGCAAGAGAATACATTTATCATGTACATTTAGCATTTACACAATTAACATTTGTGCATATCATTGTCTGCATGAACATCACTATCATAATTATTATTGAACCACCATTTGACAAGAAATGATGAATAAAATATTACAGTAGGCCGATAATAAACACCATGGTGGGGTTAGTACTCATGTTCACGACATCCTCCCCAGGATTCCTGGAGAGTCATCTTGTATCAGCCTTTGTGTAAATCACCAGAGCACCATTTAGCCAATCACAAGTGCTTATGACACACCCAAACGATGACATCATGATGCAGTTCAATCTCCATCTGTGTTCGGAATGGAATACTAGTATACTGTAGCATAGTTTAGTACTCTACTGCCAGTATATACGAGCCCGATCTCATAAAAATGCGTATAAATAGTACGCCAAATAAAAACGAAAACTCGTGGTATTGATACGCAAAAATGGACTTTGGCGTGCATATGATACGCATGTGTTTGGCGTGCATATAATACGCAGTTTTCGCGTGCATGATACGAAATTTGTTGGCGTGCATATGATACGCAGTTTCCGCGTACATATGATATACGCATCTACCCACAACCCTAAACCTACCCATCGCGTAAGTCCAAAGTCCATTTTTGCGTATCAATACCACGAGTTTTGTTTTTATTTGGCGTACTATTTATACGCACTTTCATGAGATCGGGTTGTATAAACTGTATCTCAAAGTGTATGCATTATGCTATACTAAACCTTTTAAACAGCAAATTGTGTCCAGTTATCATTCGATAAATAAATATGGTTGATATGCATTTTAATAGGCCTAGTTACAAAGTACTTAATATTATATAATATCGGTTCATAGAATGCAACAGTGACTGCCAACTTGATTGGTTCTGGGAGTATTTCTCCGAATCATTTTTACCATAGTGATTTAAAAAAGTCTGTGTTATAAGCCATGAACCAAACCAACCAGATACGAGATGAATTACAACATTTTTCAACAATTTCACAACAATTTTTGGTTTGAAGCAAAAAAGTATTTGAAAATTGGACAAAAAGACAAAGGTGTAGATATAAAGAACTACAATCCCATGAAGCACTGCAAATGACAAACGCATTAAAAAAGACGGAGAAATATACAGTAGACTTGATATAGAAACAAAATATTTTACTTTTATTGCAAAATGTGCGTATTATACATACAAACATTTAATTTGTTTAAGAGTGCAGGGAAACTGACTCTAAATCATTTGCAGAGCTTTGTGAGATCTTTTGGCATGATTTACTTGTTGCAATTCTCTGATTGGTGGAGATTCTCTGCAGAATCATGGGTAATGTAGTTTTTCACAAGGAATTCCACCATTAAGCATGATTATTTGAAAAATGTGTTTAATAATATGGGCTGATGGCTTCAACAAAAGATTATCAACCTCGTAGCTCAGAGTAGTTATGTCTTTAAAGGTTTAAAGTTACTATTAAAACGAATTTCCCTATAAAAAATAAATGAACAGGATTTTTACTTTGTGAACCCGAATGTTTCACTCTATTGCAGTTTGAGAGATTTCATTGCCGCATACTGTACCCAGTATACATACTATATACTACACTAAGCGTAGTATACTAGCATGCTTTTCCAAACACAGCCTATATATGTTTTACAAAATCAGCAGCAACATTCCAAATATTGAGGTATTAACAGTTCTCAAAAATAATGAGCAATGTGCTATTGTCACAAGCACTTGTGAATAGACAAATGACTCTCATAGTCCCTGTAAGGGATTTTTTTCTGTACATCCCGTCCCTCCAAATGAGAGAGAGTCTTTGCCACCGCAAAGAAGGAAATGAAGCAGATGAGACGAACCATTTATAGTCCAGCTGAAACCGAGGAAATTTTGCTGTACGAGCCTGCTGATGAATCCAAGCTGCACACACCGATACAGCAAGAGTATACGAGGGTCAAACAGACACACAGCTGTGGAGAAAAGCTGCCATTGAAGACAGGAAACTGGCGTTTTATTCATGATCAGGTGACCAAGAATTACAGTTCCTCTATACTGTGTTTAGAAATCATGTACTGTACTGTACAGTAGTGTTACAGTTTTTGATTAAATCAGGAATGTAACGTGGTTTGAGTGACACAAAGCAGCTGATGAGTGTGTGTGTCCAAGTAAAGTACCGTATTGCACGTTCAAACTATGAACTAATTCCTCTTTTCAAAAATCTTTTTCATTGCTGTGTACCAAACACACAATAAAGATGGTTGCACAATGCACTTTTAATGTTATCTGCATTGCAAAGTAGCAGCATCCTGTGACGACTATAATATGGCAGGTGCCATTTAGAAGCAAACTGCATTACAATGCTGGGAGATTCAATCTGCAGCTTTCAGCTACAAGGGGGATCTAATAAAAACAAAACCACCAAATCTGTGATGAAATTACGTCTCCTCTGTACAAAGACTTCAAACGCCTTCAACAGCTTGTGACTGTTAATATATTATCCCACCATGCTCTGGGAGAAAAGCTGGTTATAAGCAAACCAACATCATTTCATTACATCATTGCAGCTTATTGTGAAGCTAGACATTTTGTTTAATAAAGGAATTATGAGTGATTTTTGTCCATGCAAAAATCACCTTAAATTGGCAGGGTGTTGCTATGAGGTTGCTAAGGTATTCTGGTGGGTTTCTTACAAAAATGTCTTTCCTTCAGTGTAAATTTATGGGACACCTGCCTGGTTAAAATCATGAGTCTGATCACTTAGAAAAGCAATAGCACACCTCTCT